ACCAGCATGTAATCGCGGCTCGGTGGGCCGCAAAGACGGTTCTTGTGGGCCGCACGCGGCCGCGAGTTTGACATGCTTGATATAGAAAGACTAACTATTCATCTTAAAAAAAAAAAATTGTATTGAACTTCATAAATTAAAGTGGGGAAAAAAAGATATGTGTGTATATATATATATATATATATATATATATATATATATATTGAGGATAAAGACCAATAATTTCTATTTGCTCCCCCCAGGCCAAACTTTGCCGGTCCTCCTCATGTTGTAGGCATTGGCCATAATACTTATACACAACCTTCTGTATCTTAAATGTGATAATGAGGGAGGCGGAGCCTGACTGCCAAGCGTACCAGATGCGTGTTGCGAGAGCTCCCGCGTCTGGCATCATAACTCGAAGGAGATTCCCAGCCAACTCACTTCTTTGGCTGCATAGCGATCTTCATGTAACGGCGGCATCGGTGATCCCGGAGATACCACACTTGAGCTTCTCGGTGCCCGGATAACTTGAGCCGAGGCTTTGCGGCCAATGCAAGATAGGACAGAGGAGAGGCAGACACTCTCTGAGTTCTACAGCCGGCTGTGTGGAATCCGTATCCTGCTATTTCCCCCGCCCCGCCTTTGGACTGGTGGGGGTTATCCCGGTCCCCACCGGACTGACCTCTCACCCATCTTCTGTTCAGAATTGCTACCACTGCCTGACTGGACGCAATGCTTACAGAGCAGCGAGACATGCTGCTGCAATGCAGTGAGCAGTCTGTCTACACTGGGTGCGTCCTGCTGAAGCTGGAGGTGACATTTGTGGACTTTTGAGGCCGACTTGAGGAGCGCCTAGTGATGACGCAAGTTGCCGAGCTCAGGTTCCTCTCCAGAAGAGTCAGCGCATGCTGAAGAAGCCTCAAGGTCGGAGACTGCCATCTCACCTACCTTAGTGGAGGACCACCAATCGAGACCAGTGACAAGCCACGAGAATCTACTTTTTAATCCCTTCGGGGAGGTACACAGACTGTGAGAGCCACTGGGTCCAAGATTAGAAGATCGATCATGCCTAATGTCTTTTTTTTTTTTGTTCTATTTTGACTTGTTGTCTTAACTTTTTTTTAATTGATTTCAATTATTAAGTAACATCCTCCAGTCAATATACATAATCACTCTAGCAATTGCAGCCCTATATAGCAATTCTATCTTAATACCTGCCGCCTACGACCCAAAGTTCCATGATCTAAAACGGAAGCCATTTTGTTTTTCCTAACTATCCTTTAACTTATCACCTTTTATCCATGTATTCTCATATTGTGTGATGTAGTATCCCAACGGTTTGCTCAGCTCCAGTGGTCTTTATTCTATTTCTGTTTGCCTAGCATGTTAAATAGTATTTATTACTCAGAAAGTTCTATCCGTGTGGAGTATCTTATCTGTAGTGTATATTCAGAGTTTTAGACACGTTTGCCTTACTTGACTTTCCCATATGATAAAATTGTGCAGAACTATCAAATGCCATGCAACTGTTTAGTTATATATCATGCATTGCTTGCTCTCGCTATTGTGGCATTGCAAGCTGAGTGGACTAACAGACACGTATTTGCAACAAGATAAGATGGACACATAGGAACAGAGGGTGCTGAGGTCCCTGCTCAAATGAACTTCCACATCATAATATGTTACGTCCGTTTTAATATTTGAATATAATCAGACTATGGGTGTATGCAGACTGGCCATCGGGTAAACCGGGCAAATGCTCGGAGGGCCGCGATGTCCAGGGGCCGAGGCTGACAGGGGAGATCAAGGCATCTTCCCGGGCCAGCAACTTTAGGGCTGGTGCTTCCTTACCTCCAGCCCATAGAGGGAGCTTTAGCTCTCTCTCACAGCCTATTATTGGGCGGTATGTGTGAAGGCAAGTGATTGTGTTATTGCATTTTATGTGTAGTCAGGCCCGGACTTGCCATCGGGCAAACCGAACAAATGCCCAGTGGGCTGTTATGTCAAGGGGCTGAGGCCGACAGGGGAGATCAAGGAATCTTCCCGGCCAGCAACTTTAGAGAGTGATCTAGCCCATAGAGGGAGCTCTAGATCTCTCTCACAGCCTGTACTCTGCATGCTCCTGTGTGCTGTACAGCCCGATGCACTGTGTGGAGTACCAGATACCACCAGGGAATATGATTCCTCCTGTTCCTCCACCTCCTACCAAGGCTCAAGGTAAGGAAGGGGGATGGGGGAGTAAACCCAGCAGCCCCCTCTCACTTACTAGCCACTACCCCCTCTCACTCAATAGCCCCTGCCCCCTCTCACCCTGCAGTCCCTACACCCTCACCCAGCAGCTCCCACTCACCCAGCAGCGCATGCCCTCTCACCCGGCAGCCCCAGCCCACCCTCACTCAAACCCCTCTCACCCAGTAGCCCCCTCTCACTCAATAGCTCTTATCCTTTTACCCAGCAGCCCCCACGCACCCAGCAGCCCTTTCCCCCTTACCCAGTAGCCCCTGCCACCACTCACCCTGCAGTCCCCACTCACCCCATAGCCCCTGTTACCCAGCAGCCCCCACTCATCCAGCACACCTTCCCACCCAGCAGCCCTTACCCACCATAACTCAGTAGCCCTCACTCACCCAGCAGTCCCCTCTCACCCAGAAGTGCATTCCCCCCTCTCCCCCAGTAGTGCCTCTCACCCAGTAGCCTCGGCCCCCTCTCATTTAGCACCCGTACCCACTCTCACCCAGCAGCCCATAACTCTCACCCAGCAGACTCTGCCTCTCCCTCTCACCCAGCAGCCTCTCACACATAGAAGCCTGACTCTCCCCCTAACCCAGTCCCCCCTCACCCACATCTGCTCCTGTCCCTTCACCCAGCAGCCCCATGTTCCCCTCTCACACCCAGCAGCCCATTGCCCCCCATCTCACACCCAGCAGCCCAATGACCCCATCTCACACTATGCAGCCCATGTCTCCCCTCCCCCCCCTCACACCCTGTAGCTCCATGTCCCCTTCTCACACTCTAGATATCCTATTCCTCCTCTCACACAACATCCCCTATCCTCTCCCCCCCGCACACATCCCTATGGCCCCCACACTACACATTGGCTGTCCTGGGAGCATTAAAGGGCCACTATAGTGCCAGGAAAACCGGGCTGGATGGAGAGGAAGGGGTTAAACTTACCTCTTTCTCCAGCGCCGGGCGGGGAGCTCTCCTCCTCCTCTCCGGCTGAATGCGCATGCGCAGCAGGAGCTGCGCGCGCATTCAACCAGTCCATAGGAAAGCATTCTCAATGCTTTCCTATGGATGCTGGCGTCTTCTCACTGTGATTTTCACAGTGAGAAGCGCGGAAGCCCTCTAGCGGCTCCAACTTTAATAAGAGCAGTCTCAGTAGAGTGGAGGGGGTGAAAGCCAGATTGTAAGAGGATCGAGGAGGGAGTTGGAATTTAGAAAGTTATAATATATATAATTTATATAATGTAAGTATTGTTCCCAAATGTGGCAATTAGTCTTTTTAATAAAAACAGCGTCCTTACATCTGAAACTGTCCTTATATCAGAAAATGTAAATATAAATGATTAATGGTAGGTTAGATATATGCTGGTAGTTATGCCTACGTCCAGTTTTTCTTTTTATTTGATCTGGTTTATGTTCATCTTACTGTGAGTTCTCCATTGCAAATGGGCTTTTCCCAGTTATATTTGATTCCTATTCTAATAGTCTTAAGCCTATTCTGTTCTGCCAGTCTCATGACAGCTATAGCCTTTCCTCGTTCTCCTATTTCTATTCAGTGTATCCCATAGGGTCTCAGTATATCCAAGCGCTGCTCAAGCCCTCAACATTAGGAAACCATTTGGAATATTGTGTACTTTCTGTGAGTCTGTCAGATGTGCAATTTTTTACCTGGTAGAATCCATCTCAAATTAAGAAGTCCACTAATTGAATCATGACAGCTTTATAAAAACCCAGAGAATTTGTTCACGTGAATCCCTCAGCATTCAGGTATCATAGAGGGAAAGATGCTAGTTTAAAGATGGCATTCAAAACATTAACAGAAAAGAAATGTGACACTCGATTCTATTACCTCATCATTATTTTTAGTGTAGTTTTGTGATGTATACTCCGACATGATGTCATCCTACAAGATATCATCTTCATAACTAATTTTGCATATATTGAAGTTGTGCATAATATTCTCTCTATTAAAGAAACTGATGCAAAGAGGAAACTTATGACGACTTACTATTGGTTACTGCAGAAGGAATAGTATAGTCTTGCAGACTCAACTTTCATTATCACTTCCTTAACCACTGTATCCAGAATGTGTCACCATGTTATCTCACTCCCAGAATTGATAACAAACTCAATGTTCATATTTCCAGCATGTGATTTTTATTTTTGTAACTAGACATTTTGCACTAAAAATACATAAATTCAGCTACCGTATTCAAAAACTCAAAAATAACATAATAGAGAGGGAGTGTCAGTAGCTTACAAGACTAATGATTAACAAGGTTATTTACCAAAGTCAGAATTCAAAGTGAATTTTAAATGTCAGGGCCACAGTAGCTGAATTGAAAATTGAATAAGAAAATGTCTTCAATTTGGCTATTTTGACACTTCAACTAGCTGAAATGTGTGAAGAGAGAGTACTCTTTTTAAATTTACAAAAAGTGCGGATTTCAATAGAAAGTGAAGATTATGCTAGCTTTAGTGTACTATTAATTTTAATAATGACAGGAGGAGACTATTTTGCATAATCTTCCTTTACTACTCCATAGCAGCAAAGACATGTGAAAAAAAAGACAAGAGAAAAAAAGGAACCAATCAGAGACAGGCAGAGAGTATAAGATATGCCTTCCACTGAGTCACTTCCTCTTGATAACAGCGACATCACAAGTCACACGATCAACTCAAGAACCATACGGAATAACAAAAACAGTTCAATTCCAAGCATGAGGAAGGACAGCTGGGTTCCATTAAAAACTGGGAATGACGAATCGACTGGATGGAGGAGAATAGTAGTACTACGATCCTTGCCAGCAGTCTGAGTGGGATCGAATCCTGACGTAGTATTTTCCGTATTTCCCTGCATATTGCCACGACTGTGGTAGTTGGAAGTCAGTGTTTACTTTTCTCAATTGACCAGGAAGCAGAGGGATTCCGACACAGTCACACTGCAATCTGTAGTTGAAAGAAGGTGGTTGCGATTCTGTTTGGAGAATAGAATGTCGTCTAGGTAAGTCAGGCATCGTATGCCTTGACCCCATAAGTGAGCCATCACTGGTTTCAAAAACCTCAATTAAAGCACCATGGTGCCGGACTGAGCCCGAAGGGGAGGCAGGTGAATTGCCGTGGTGTCCCGTTCCAGAAGAACCGTAAAGAGGGGTGACTGCCGTTGTCTACCGATACAGGCAGGTAGGCGTCTTTAAACCAGTCTCCTCCTTGCCGGAGGTGCCGCAATAGATGGATACCTTCCATCTTGAAATGGTGGTATGTAAAAAGGTTTAACCAGGTAAAAGACATTCAGATATTTTCTGGCATCCGAGTGCCTCCTATTGATGTAATTGTACCCAATTTGATGGTACTCATTTTATCTACCTCGAAGGGCTGAAGGGTTGAGTCAACCCAACAGGGGAGATGAACCTGTGACCCCCAAGGGTTAAGGGGGTAGGTAGGGGTTAATTTTCTTTTTTTGGGGGGTGACTAGGGGTGACATTTTTATTTAGGGCCCCCACCCGCCGCTCAGGGGTGGGGGCTGGGGTGGAGAACAATAGGTCCCCCCTCCTTATTCCAATTTAGGGCCCCCACTCGCCGCTCTGGGGTGGGGGCCAGGGGAGAGAACATAAGGTCCTCCCCCCTTATTAGTATTTATGGCCCCCAGCCACTGCTCAGGGGTGGGGGCCACGGGGGAGGACATTAGGTCCCCCCCCCTATTTTACTGTAGGGCCCCCAACCACCGCTCAGGGGTGGGGGCCAGGAGGAGGACAATAGGTCCTCCCCATCATTTTACTTTAGGGCCCTCACCCGCCGCTCAGGGGTGGGGGCTGGGGGGGGCAATTTATTATAATTTTTTTTAACCGTGAGCAGCCACAGCGAGTAGGGGCAAAATTTACTAATACTAAGTAATTTTTACTTAGTATTAATAAATGTGGCTGAAAGACCAATTTAGGTCTTTCAGCCTTTTGGTAGATAACTCCCTAATACCGTGGGAATTAGGGAGTTATCTACTAAGCGGCTGCAAGAGAAGTCCCGAAATTCCGAAGTGCCGAAGTTCCGAAGTGTTGAAGTGCCGAATTGCTGAAGTCCTGAATTGCGAAAGTCCCATATTTCGGAATGCCGAACCGAACCGAAAATTTTCCCCACGCACATGCCTACTCGTCACTACATTATATTTAGGAGACGTTTTCTCCGCTTTTCTTTATGCTCACTTTTTTTCTATTCACTTTATTTTAATCTCTGGTTCTTATTTAAATAAAGTTTTTTGTATTACTATATATATATATATATATATATATATATATATATATATATATATATGTATGCATATATCTCTTTTTGCTATTACCTTCGAATGATTTAATATATGAGGTAATTTCAGTAGGGTGGAACTCATACTCGTTTTCCTGGCACTATAGTGCCCTGAGGGTGCCCCCACCCTCAGGGACCCCCTCCCGCCCGGCTCTGGAAAGGGGAAAGGGTTAAAAACTTACCTTTTTCCAGCGCTGGGCGGGGAGCTCTCTGTCTCCTCTCCTCCTCCGATCCTCCTCCTGGGCTGAATGCGCACGCGTGGCAAGAGCTGTGCGCGCATTCAGCCCGTCGCATAGGAAAGCATTTACAATGCTTTCCTATGGACGCTTGCGTGCTCTCACTGTGAAAATCACAGTGAGAAGCACGCAAGCGCCTCTAGTGGCTGTCAATGAGACAGCCACTAGAGGATTAGGGGGAAGGCTTAACTCATTCATAAACATAGCAGTTTCTCTGAAACTGCTATGTTTATAAAAAAATGGGTTAACCCTAGAAGGACCTGGCACCCAGACCACCTCATTAAGTTGAAGTGGTCTGGGTGCCTAGAGTGGTCCTTTAATATATGAGGTAATTTCAGTAGGGTGGAACTCTACCTCTTTAGGTAGATTTCCAACCTTATTTGTCTCTATTTTCTAAATTATACAGTGCATTGTTGTTTTTATACATGTTTGGGTTTTTTGTAACAATTTATTTCATAAATTAATTGAAATATTTCACTCTAACCTTGGCATTCTGCGGGCACCATTCAGCATTATTTCAAAGATGCACTTCCTTTTTTATGAACACTATAATGCTAATCTTAGTCTTAATATGAGTAACAGTTCGTGAGGCCTTAAATTGAGACTACAGTCACCAGAACAACTACAGCTTAATGACAACTTAATGTAGCTGTTCCGGTGAGTATAGTCAGTCCCTGTAGGCTTTTTTGCAGTAAACACTGTTTTGTCAGAGAAAATGCAATGTTTTCATTACAGCCTAGGGATACCTCTACTGGCCACTACTCAAATGGCTGCTAGAGGTGTTTCCTGGGGCAGTGCTTCACAGTCTGCATGGAGACACTGAACTTTCCTGATAGAGATGCATTGATTCAATCCATCTCTATGTGGAAATGCTGATTGGCCAAGACTGTGCTTGGCTTGTGCTGGCTCTGCCTCTGATCTGTCTCCTTGACAAACTCAGCCAATCCAATGCTTTCCTATGAGAAAGCATTTTGATTGGCTAAGATCACTACTTCTGATGATGTCAGCCAATCAGGCAGATCAGGGGCAGAGGCAGCAGCAGCAGTAGGCTGGAATAAAGGTAAGATTACTATATTTATGGTAGCAAGGGGGGTGCTGGGGAGGGGTGGAGGGATATAAAGCTTTTTTTTTTTTTTTAAACACTATAGGATCAGGAATACATGTTTATGTTTCTGACCCTATAGTGCCCCTTTAAAGATTGTCAGACACAAATATTATTTACTCTATGAAAAACTGTTAACCATCTAGTGTTATTTACAGGGTTGTTTACTAAAGTGAGAATTCAAAGTAAATCTCAAATTTAAGGCCCCAGTAACCAAAATGAAAGTACAGCTGGCTTAGAGATGTCTCCTGTTCATCTTTTTTTATCTTAAATTTTGAAATTCACTTTGAATTCAGCAAGAATTCTCACTTTAGTGAATAACCCTTTTAATGGCACATTTACAATAACTTTGCTCAAGGTGTCTTTGGCTATACTACTTAATACAAAGCTGATTAATATCTTGTTGATTCAAGAAGAAATCTTATTACATCTTATTGGAATCAATAAGGTAATTTCTCCCATATTGCAACACAATTGTAAAATGGAAATAGCTTCTAGCTGGGTTTTTCCAAACAATAGTCATATGATTGCCTGTAAATAGACCTTTCCGCCAGCTCAAAACCCATGCGTGCTCTTGGGGCCAACGAGGGGAGTTAGGGTAGAAAGTGGAGGGAAATAAGAAAGAAATAAAAAGCACCAAAGGAGGCAGGGAAGCAGGGAGGGATTAATAAATGAAGGGAGGAAGTGGACGACAAGCTTCCCTTTGCAAGCTCTGACTGGAAGGTGTTAAGACCTGCAGTGGTTATGGTGCTGTGGTCTTCGGTTCCCTTTCCCCAACAGCTGAGCATAAGTGATTATAGCTGCAGCAGGGGTTAGAGGAATAAGGTAGATGAAATGCAGTTCCAAGATGATTCTTCCCAGCAAATAGAATATCCCCCAAACATGAGCCTAGACTTCATGAAGGGTGTATGGCAACCCTTCCTCTCCTGTGTTGCCCTCCCAGTGCTCCCATATGAGATCCAGGGGTCCCCGGACTTTTCTCCCGTATAGGAGTCCGAAGGGGGAGAACCCGGTGGACGCCTGAGGCACTTCTCAAGGCAAACAGGAGATGAGGTAACAACTTCTCCCATTGACCATAGGATTCTGTGAACGCTGTAAGCATTTGCTTAAGTGTGCCGTTAAATCGTTCACAGAGACCGTTAGTCTGGGGGTGGTAAGGGGAGCTAAATAACGGTTTTACCCCGCAGCTCTGCCACAACTGTTGCGTAACAGTTGTCGTGAACTGGGTTCCCTGATCTGAAAGTATTTCTCGGGGGAACCCTACCCGGGAAAAGATCCTGACTAGAGCCTCTGCTACTGTCTCCGCCTCAATGTTGGACAGCGCTACAGCCTCAGGGTACCGCGTGGCGTTGTCCACCACTGTGAGGATGTAGCGCTTACCGAAGGAGCTGGGTTTGCTGAGAGGCCCTATCAGATCTACTAAAGCTCAGCCATGATATCCCGCTAGCAGGACATCTCTGTAGAATGGTTCCTCTATTATAGGTAGGGACCGTAACTTGGCCTTAGGGTGGTCCCCCCTTTTCCCTATCCTTTGACATGTGTCACATGTCCTGCAGTAGGTCTGCAAATCTTTGGATATCCCTGGCCAGAAGAACGTCTGGGTAAGGCGGTCCTTAGTCTTCTTGATACCCAGATGTCCTGCTAGCGGGATATCATGGCTGAGCTTTAGTAATTCCGCCCTGTACTTATGGTGTACGACTAACTGCCTTTTTATAACTTGGGCTGCTCCCTGCCCCACTCCCCCTGTAACCCCATATAGCAATCCCTTGTCCCAGTGGAAGTTCCCGTGGGCATTACCTTCCTTAGAGGTGCCTACTGCCTTCCTGTAACCCACTAAGGTGGAATCTGATTGCTGAGCTTGGTCAAAGTCTTGGGGAGTGCTCCAGAAGGGAATAGGGTTAGGGCATGTTACAGGGTTTTCAGTTCCTACCTGTGGTTCCTTGGAGTGTGTCGGTCCAGCCCGGCGGGCTTGTGCCCTGGTAGTCACGGGGCAGGTACCAGAGAGATCGGGGTGAGTCAGCTGTGAAGTTAGACACCCCAAATCGTTCCCTAACAAAACTTCCGCAGGTAGTCGCGACATGATGCCCACCTCCATCTGCTTGGCTCCGGTGCCCCAGTTTAACTGTACCCCGGCTGTGGGTAACTTGTGGATGGCACCCCCTGCCACTCTTACGGCTACAGTCTTGTTGGTGCGCTTTTTGCAGACACTGTGTGAGGTTGTACCAAAGTAAGGGTAGCCCCAGAGTCTCGTAGCGCCCATTGTCTGTGGTTCACCCGGTTGTCTCCCTCGGCTTGGGCTAGGTTTACCTCATGTAGTATGGCCCACTGCTCCGCATCCAGGCTATGCTCTTCTAGGGGTTCATGCTGACAGTGGTGAGCGGTGACCCTTGGTGATGGTGGGGGCTGCTCCCAGTTGCCTCTGCTCCGCTGCGGGCAATGTATTTTGTAGTGCCCTGGCTGATTGCACTGGTGACATACTACTGGGGTTCTTCTATTAAAATTAGGCTGTGTCGTGTGTGGTACCGGGTTTGGT